AGACTGAAGAACAAAAACGACAGCAACTTGTCTGTTCCCCTTCCCCCAATTCCCCAGCGCTGTTCCCATCCCCCCAATTCCCCAATAAAAATCTTTGAAAAAAAAAAAAAAGAATGTGAGCTCTGAGCACAGGATCACCAGTTCTATCCCACATGGGCCAGTGAGCTGCGCCTGAGCTGAGCTGCCGGCGGGTGGTGGATGCCTTGGCCGGCGGGAGCATGTGCTCCTAACAGCAGGGTTGCCGGTTCCACTACCGCATGGATGGTGGGCTGCACCCACCCGCTGCTAGGATTGAGCGGGCAGCTGTGAGCTGCCGATGAGCAGCAGGATGGCGACTGGACTTGGGGACTGGGCGGGCTGCGCCCTCCACAGCTGGGGTTGAAGGGCAGCTGCTTGGCTGTCTCCCTTCCCCAAGTCCCCAGCACTGTTCCCCTTCCCCAATTCCCCAATAAAATATTTAAAAAATAAATACATAAAAAATAAAAATAACCATCTTTAAGAGACATGGTTTCTGATTAAGTTACAGTACTATCAGAGGCAAAACAGCAGGTTTATGTAGGAGATAAATGTATGTTCAAAAAAATGACAGTTTCAGCCAATCAGATTAATGACAGGTAAGCTCCATTTTCTTCATCCTGCTATCAGCAATCTAGAGATGCCTCTTTCTCTCTGTGTCTCTGTATCTCTCACTCTTCATTAAAAGGCTATTTAATCTATTCAATTTTAGGCAAAATTATTCTTATTGAAAGATATTAAACTTATCAGGTACTATTTGAAAACATACTAGCCACCTCAGTAACTCATCCAGAAATTGAATTAATTCTGTGAGGTAATTATAAAATATTTTAAATTTTAATATTTTAATTTTAGATATTTTAAATTTTAAATATTTTTAAACTCATTTGTCCCATTTTCTACGTCAGTGGAAATAGCAAACTCACTATATTTTCTATAATGATTGTTTTAAGTTATAAAGCTAGGTGGGAACAGTTCTCTTATTCTCCTCTGTATCCTCAGCTTAAGCAGTGTTGATGCTTGAATGGCACAAATTTGTTGAATGAAAATATGACCTTTATCTATGAGTGTAAATATCCTAGGACTGACATTCAGTCAGATACTCCTGTAAGAATTGCATTTTCTAGAATCGAGTTCATCAAATTGGATTGGAAGAAAACTTAGATCACCTACTTCAACCTTCTCATTTTATAGGTAAGAAACTGATTCTTCCTTCCTTCTTTCTTTCTTTCTTTCTTTCTTTCTTTCTTTCTTTCTTTCTTTCTTTCTTTCTTTCTTTCTTTCGTTCGTTCTTTCTTCTTTTGACAAAAAAGGCTTTTACTTGGAAGCAGGGAACAGAAGAATACATTGTGGAGTTGGCATGCTTTTATCAAGGTTCTTTATGAGAATTCTCATCTGTTTGCATGCCCTTCCTCCAAGGCTCTCTTCTGCAA